CTTAACCACTGAGCCATCTCTCCAGTCCTAAACCCAGATATTTTAAACCAAGGGGTCAAACCAGTGTTCCCTCACATACAAGGTAACTTTTGAACTCAGCAACTTTCTAAGGCCTCCAGAACCTAACACAACCAAGAAGCGAATTAAACTAAAGGCCCTGTTAGTCACGGCTGAAATAAGTGAGATACATTTTAAAATTTTAGCACTCAGGAGGCAGAGGCAGGCGGATCTCTGTGAGTTCTAGGCCAGTCGAGGCTCTTACACAGAAAAACCCTGCCTCAAAAAACCAACCAAAATAGAACAACAATAATTACTTGATGAAATCGGATCACCAAGGTGGAATGAGACCCAGGTGAGGGCCGCTATTCCTTATTCTGCAGAATCCCTCCACTCAAACCAGTAAGAGCACACAGAAATTCCGAAGGTGGAAGAGCACTTCCGTGGTTAGCGTGGCTCTTTGGAACCTACAGCTTCCACCGACGGCTTAGAATTGCTGCTCTGCCCAAATTTCCTGCTCCATCACGCAGCCTCAGGAAGATGCAGCGCTTGAGGCAGGAGTGTGCCAGAAAGTAACGTGTTTTCTTTGAGAGAGGAGAACCAAGAGACATGAAAGCCTGGGGAACAAGGTGCCTCGGTTCCCACGCGCCTCTGGGCTTTGACTCACCGTGTGGCCTTGAAGAGAAACACTCGCGTCGATTCTCTAGGATTCAGCTTTCCTAGCTGTAAAGTGGAGGCGGCGACAGACAAGTCACGAGATCCAGCGAAGGAGAAAGGCGTTTAGGAACCTGCAAGACTTGGAATGATGCATCGTCACGATTATGGTCCTGAGGAGAGGCAGCGGATACCCGGGCGGGGCCCAGGGAGGTGACGCGAAGATGCACCCGGGTCCCTCCCGTTGGCGTGCTCCCCCTCAGCACCACCTCCCACGGGGTCCCACCTCCCAGGACCACTCACGCTGGGGCTGGAGAAACTTTTACCTCCAGCTTGCAGCACCCGCACTACCCTGGTTCCCGCGACAGCCGCTCTCTCACCTTCTACCCCAGGACCGACGGGAGCTGCATCTCTATGGTCTGACTGGTACAGGAGAGGCTCCTTAGGGGCCTTTGGTGTGGCCGCCCTCGCCCCACACTCCTCTGGGAATCTGACGTGCGGCGGTCACTCTGTCTCTCTTCGCGGCCGGTGCTACTCTATGGTTTCCCCCCCCCCCATGTCCTTGAGTACCCTAACTCGGAGGCCCAAAGCAGAACCACCGAGAGTTGCAGGGTAGAGTGGCACAGACTTCGTGGTGGGTGTGGCGGGAAGTAGTTGTAGAACTCGGGGGCGGGGCCTAGCGGCGCTACCTCCGATCGCGGCCTGGTTTTACCATCGAGTCTGAGGGCCAGAGAGTCATTGCAGTAGGGGGCGCAGTGACAGGTTTACCCCGACCACGTTCCTGGAAGCCCGAGCTGTGTTGTGTGTAGCGTGTGTGGGAGACAGCTGCTGCCTGTCAGGCTCGGGAACCGGCAGCCAGAAGAGCTTCGTCAGTGGCTCTCTATGGAAAGGTGTTTTGGAATCCTAGATCCCAGCTCCGAGCCTTAGTGGAGGTCACGGCTGTCAATTCACCGGTGGCCCGAGAGCCAGGCGGAGGACGAAGTGGCGGTGGTGGAGTCTCGCTGGAGAGGTGTGCAGGAAGTAATTAGTCCTTTTCTCTTGGGAATGGTCTACAGTTAAGCCTAGTCACATCTTACTGGGTTGAAATTGGAAAAGGCTCCGTGGAGGAAGTAGCCTATGAAATCTCAATAAGAATGCCGGGAATAAAGAAGGGGGCATTCGGAACCAACAGAACTGAATGGGCCAGAGGTAGGTAGTGATTTGCATATTTGTTGAACTGCTGGTAAAGAAAGCTGTCCTAATGTGGAGGTTCCTGTGTATCCGGTTGTGTTTGAATCCAATGGGAGAAAGTCACCGAGGGTGCTGGAGTAAAAGTGTGACAGAATTGGAGAGGGTCCCGGTATGGTGGCTGACTGATGCAAGCACTGAAGGTCCATTCAAAGGCCACTTCAAGAACTAAAATTTAACTTGCATGTAATAGTTTAGGTGGGAAGCAACAAAAGTTTGAACAGTTCATTGGGAACTGGGTCTAAGAGAGGATAATTGAAGGAAATTTCTGATAGTAAGGCTTGTGGTCACTGATAGCTCAATGGGAAAAAAATCATCTTTGTTGACTCCACCCAATGGGGACTCTTTCTGTCTCAGCTCTTGCGAGGGACCAAAGTCTTGCCTTTCTCGTATCCTGATGCGTGCTTTTTGGAGTTGAGAAAATCTCCAAACCTGTTCTTCTGGCAAAAAGTCTTCTATCTGAAGAGCAAAATGGGTTGGAGAGCTTGGGGTGTTTGCCCTGGCATCCCAACACCATATCTACTCCCCAAAGGATACTGCTGACCTGCCATCTTGCTTCTGTGGGAGGAAGTGGGGCACATCTGATGGGTCTGGCTTCTAAACTAGTCTTGTGCTTTCTCCCAGCTCTGCTGCTCTCCACCCCTAGGTTTTGACAGTGTCTCGGGGCCTGTAAGCATCTGTCGTTTTTGTTTTTGTTTTTGTTTTTTTCCCCTTTCAAGATGCCATTCACAGACTTTATTCTGGCCCTAAAAGACAATCCCTACTTTGGGGCTGGATTTGGGCTGGTAGGTGTGGGCACAGTTCTGGCTGTGGCCCGGAAAGGAGCCCAGCTGGGTCTAGTGGCATTCCGGCGCCATTACATGATCACATTGGAAGTCCCTGCTAGAGACAGAAGCTATGCCTGGTTGCTTAGCTGGCTTACCCGACACAGCACCCGTACCCAGCACCTCAGTGTTGAAACCTCATACCTGCAGCACGAAAGTGGCCGAATCTCCACCAAGTTCGAATTTATCCCCAGCCCTGGAAACCACTTCATTTGGTAAGACTGGAAGCTAGGAAGGGCTCTGAAGACAGGCAGATTAATGGAGGAAACTGGGTTACTCTGACAGTTTTATTCAGGTATCAGGGGAAATGGATCCGGGTACAGCGAAACCGAGACATGCAGATGGTAGACCTGCAAACGGGGACTCCTTGGGAATCCGTCACCTTCACAGCCCTGGGCACGGACCGGAAGCTTTTCTTCAACATCCTGGAAGAAGGTATGAGATGGCACAGGCAGGCGCAGGCTTTTGCTGGGGCTTTGAGGAATGGGGCCGTTGGGCATCAACGGCTTGAAGAGGAGGAATAAGAATCCAAATACTTGGGAGAAGGTTATCAGGACAGAGCTCTCCTTAATTGCAGAATCAGTTGTAATCAAGAGACTTACGGTCTCATCTCCTTGCTTCCAGCTCGAGCACTGGCCCTGCAGCAGGAGGAGGGGAAGACAGTGATGTACACAGCTGTGGGTTCCGAATGGCGTACCTTTGGTTATCCACGCCGGCGCAGGCCACTGGATTCTGTAGTCCTGCAGCAGGGGCTTGCTGACCGAATTGTCAAAGACATCCGGGAATTCATTGATAATCCCAAGTGGTACATTGACAGAGGTAAGAAGCAGCTGGGATCTAGGCTAGTCTGTAGCCAGATGAGGCGACAGAAAATTCTAGCTCCGGAAAAGGGAAAAGAAACCTTGTTTCTTCAGATGCTAAGACCTCCAGACTAGTAGGGAATAGAGCTGAGGTGGAATATGGACACCTGGACCAGAGTACAGGATTCGCTTTAGGTTTTGTTTGTCTTGGTTATGTCCCTAGGCATTCCCTACAGACGTGGCTACCTTCTTTATGGGCCCCCTGGTTGTGGGAAGAGCAGTTTTATGTGAGTAGTCCAGTTCTCTCGACTCTGAACCACACAGTCTTTGCAGAACTGCCCTGATAGGGTGGGGAGAGAGACATGGGTCTGGGAACTCCGAGCGGGGTTAAACCAGATAGACACAACATTGGTGGGTGGTACCGGAGATGTAGGCCTCTGGGGCAGACCTCTTGGGAGTCCCAAAGAGGCTTCAGGTTGCCTAGGCCCTCCTTCTGTGTGTCCGTCCACAGAACTGCTCTGGCTGGAGAACTGGAGCACAGCATCTGCCTTCTCAGCCTCACAGACTCTAGCCTCTCGGATGACCGGCTCAACCATCTGCTGAGTGTCGCCCCCCAGCAGAGCTTGGTGCTCCTGGAGGATGTGGATGCTGCTTTTCTCAGTCGAGACTTGGCCCTGGAGAGTAAGTAGAAGATGCTGGGGGCGGGGACTCTTTTGTTTGGCTGATTTAGTGTGTGGGCACATGCACGTGGAGTCAGTTCCCACCTTGTTGAAGCAGTGCCTCTCTGGGTTCTGCCATACTCCTGTCTCCACTGCCAACATGCCGCAAGACTTAGATCTGTGCCGCTGCATTCAGCATTTTACCTGGATTCTGAGACCAGGCTTGATCTTCAGGCTTGTGCAGCTAGCACTTTTGATCATAAAGCCTTCTCCCTGACCCAGGAAAGTAGTTCTTAAGATACTGAGGGTCAGAAGGAAATGAGGAAGAGCGGAAACAGGAATTTTTGGAGGCCTGAGTCAGCAACAAGAGGTGCTGATAAGTAGGTAACTGCAGAGGATACTGGAGCACGATTTTAGCTAAGACATGCCCATTCACGTTCCTGTCATCCTCCAGACCCTGTAAAGTACCAAGGCCTAGGTCGTCTCACCTTCAGTGGACTGCTCAATGCTTTGGATGGTGTCGCCTCCACTGAGGCTCGCATTGTGTTCATGACCACCAACCACATTGACAGGTAAGGAGGAAGAAGGCAGAACTCCACTGCTATGTCTTGAGGGGGGGATGAGGAGGCTGTCTCTTTTGGGTGCTAGCAGGAGTATTGGCTATGACTCTGCTTTTCCTCTTAGGCTGGATCCTGCCCTGATACGCCCTGGGCGAGTAGATCTGAAGGAGTATGTAGGCTACTGCTCACACTGGCAGCTGACCCAGATGTTCCAGAGGTTCTACCCAGGGCAAGCGCCTTCCTTGGCTGAGAACTTTGCAGAACATGTCCTTAAAGCTACATCCCAGATTAGTCCTGCCCAGGTGCAAGGCTACTTCATGCTGTATAAAAATGACCCTGTGGGGGCTTTTGAGAATGTTGAATCTCTGAAGTGATTCTCCAGGCCACTATCTGTTCTCAAAAAAATCCATAAACACCAATCACACTAATCTGGTCTGTGACTTTTCCTCCCTCCCTTGCTGCGTTTGTACTTGAGAATAAAACAGGGGTTGCAATAGCAGTGCTGCAAGATGCACGTATACAAATGATGGGACCATGGCCGCAGAGAGGGAAAGGAGAGGCTGACATGAATGGAGAAACTATATACGTTCACAAAAGGCCACTCAAGTAAGAGGCATTGTGGCCCGATGTTGTGGCACACTTTTTTGTTTGAGGCAGGGTTCTGTGTAGCCGTAGCTGTCCTGGAACTCACTTTGTAGACCAGGCTGGCCTTGAAGTCAGAAATCTACCTGCCTCTGCCTCCCAAATGTTGGTATTAAAGGTGTGCCATTTGGCACATACTTTTAATTCCAGAGCTAAAGTAGTTAAGATTGCAAAAAGCTCACAAATAACCTGAACTACACAGTAAGACCTTTTTCCCCTTCAAAACAACCAAGGGGATTAGGATGTAGCTCAGATGGCAGAATGCTTGCTTAGCATTCGTAGACTGGCCGTGATGGCAATGGCTGTGACCCGAGCACTCATGAGGTAGAGGCAGGAAGATCAGGGATTCTTCAGCTGCATAAATCTTGAAGCTAGTCTGGGCCACATGGAACCTTATCTCCAAACAGCCAACAGGTCAACAGTGCACCCCTGTAAATGTGGGTATGGACAGGGAATTATACACTGTAGTACTGCCCAAATGTCAACCGCAGCCTCCTCAAAACTGACCACACTGGCAGGGAAGTAAGACCCTTCTCACCTTGGCATTTTTGGAGAACAGACTTAGAGCAAAGGTGAGAGCCCCTTGCCATACTCAAATCTTTTATTTTTTTACTTTATTTATTATGTATATAGTGTTCTATCTGCATGTTTGCCTGCATGCCAGGAAAGGGCACCAGATCTCATAGATGGTTGTGAGCCACCATGTGGTGATTGGTAATTTAGCTCAGGACCTCAGATAGCTATCTCTCCAGCCCCCATACCCAAATCTTATAGCAATTTAGGAAGAGCCATACCCAGCTTGCAACTGTCAGTAACTCCAGCTCTAGGTGATCCGATACCCTCAAACAGACATACATGCAGGCAAAACACCAGTGCACATAAAAGAAAAAAAAAAGCCATTTCACACAAGCTAGGTGCTGTTAAGCAAAGAAGGCCAAATCTCTTTATTGCCTCCCTCCCACCCCCAATTCCCTGTCCCCCCACAGTACTGCTAGGAACCTTCCTCGGATTCCAAGCCCAGGGGCTCCCTGCGATTACCAGACCGGTATGCTCCCTGGCCCCGAGGTAGGTGGGAGTAGGAAGAACCTGGTGTACGGCTTTTGGAGCGTTCCCAGCGAGCACAGTCCCGAGTCCTGCGAGCTGTGGAGCCCTGCCAGCTACCAGGCCCCTTCTCCTGAGGAAGACCTGTAAGCCCTTTGTTACGGGGTTCTGGTTTTAAGTCCACAGGCTCTTTGAGAGGCTTCTCAGGAGGTGGCAGTTCTTGGATATCACTGGTACCTTTTGCGGTACAGCACTCCCCTCCTTTCGGGTGCCTCCGATCATACCGTCGCCAGGATCCACGACCAGATCGTGGGGGATCTAGCATGGATTTCTTGGTCTCACCCAGCCTTTGTTGATTTGGGCCAGCCCCTGGAATCTTCTCATACACACACTGAGTAGCCATGGGTAGAGGAGTTGGCACGGCTGACTGGGCAGCTAGGGAAGTAGATTGTTCTGCAGAAAGGGCAGTAGGTGGTTGGGGTTCTCTGGAGACATCTACAACTGACTCAGGCTCCACAGCAGCAGGAGGCTGGGGAGAAGAGAGGCAATGCATCACGGGAGACCCCTCTCCACTACCAGCCAACCATTACCAATCTGAACCTCCCCAGGCAGAATGAAGCACACCCTAGGGCCGTGGTGTTCACAAGAACACTGGAGGCATGGAGGCCAAGAGGGGAGCCTTTTCCTTTCCTCACCTGCTGAAGGCTAATAAAGTACCGGTTCCGTTCAGCCTCAAGGTCAATGATGCCACCCTTCTCCTGTTGCCTCTGATACAGCCTCTTGAGCTCTTCCTGTTGGCGCAAGCTCTCTGCACTGGGTTGGTAAAGCTCCTAAAAGGAAAGGAAGCAGAATGGCAGGAGAGAAAAACAAAATGAGAAAGCAGACGACTTGAACCGTAACTCTTCTAGGATTATCCTAGGAGAGGTGCACAAGGTTCCTGGTTTTTTGCTTTATTTTATTTTATTTTTTTTCGAGACAGGGTTTCTCTGTGGCTTTGGAGCCTGTCCTGGAACTAGCTCTGTAGACCAGGCTGGTCTTGAACTCACAGAGATCCGCCTGCCTCTGCCTGGGATTAAAGTGCTGGGATTAAAGGCCTGCGCACAGCCCAGATTGGCCTCAAACTCACCAAGCATGACCTTGAACTGCTTACCCTCCTGCTTCAACTTCCTGAATGCCAGGATTACAGGAGTGTACCACTGTACCAGGTTTTTTAATGTAGTTCTGGGGATCAAAACTAGGGCTTTGTGTATGCTAGGCAAGTGTACTACCAAACGAGCCACATTACTAACTTGGCTTTCTTCCTCAGAGTTGGGCTTCTGAAGTCTTAGGCTCCTGGTGGGGGCTGCGGCTTTGCAGAGTAGTCTTAAGCAAGTGAAACCCAACTCCAGAGAATTCAGCACAGACAAGATGCCATTTCTCTCTAGAATGCCACTATGCGTGGCTTAGACCAGAAGGAAATCCCTTACCATGGGTTGTTGGGGTTCAGGGGCTGCTTTCAGCGAGGCAAGATCATACACAAGGGGCTCCCTGCACACAGGACACTGCACACCGACTGCCTTCTAAAACAAGAGGAGAAATCACATCCTGCTTCTTGTCAGCCAGCCCAATCTCGGGTGGGCTGGGACTGAAGGGCACAAGTGTTAGCTGCTCAGCAATGAGGTGGGAAGGAGGAAAGGGCAGCCTAAGGAGAGGTCTGGAGATGCTGCAAAGCTGCATGCAATGTGTCAGTGTACTCAAGGATGCCTTTCTGAATAGGGGTGAGATTTAGTCTCAAAGGTATCTGTTACTAAATGATGAAAAGCCACTAGAATGAAGGGATGGAGACAGATGTAAAGTATAAGGGTACCAAGCAAGAAAGCGGGTCTGTCTACCTGTTTGGTGACAACATGCTGTCGCTCCTGTTCCTGTCCTTGTGTCTTCAGCTCTTGTTCCATGTGCTGGATGTACCGAGCAAGGCAGTGGCAGTGGAAGTAGTGATAACAGGGTGTTTTGGTAAAGGCCTCCTTTTCCTGTAGGGAGACAGATGCAGAGTCCTGTATCAGTGCCCACTTGCTAGCCCTTTCCTGTCTACCCAAGCTCACTGCAGCGCCAGCTGAGAAACCCACCTGGAAACCATAGAGGCAGATGACACACTGACCATGGGGGATGTTGTTGTCTGTGAGAATTTCCTTCCCTTTCTGAAAGGAGAGAAGATTGTGAACACATTCCATGTACTTCTTCCAGGAGTGACTGGTTGGCTGTGACATCCACCAAGCAGCTAGTTACCTACCGTTTATGTACTCCTATCCTGGTAACCTTCTACTTGCAAGAATCCCTCTCTATGCATCCCCCACCCCTGCCCATTTGACCTTCCTGGTTTCAAAATCTAAAATTATTTCTCTTCTTACTAAGTCACTTTTCATATACTTGGAGATAAAAATAATATTTCTAGCTTGGCATTGTGGCACACTCAAATCCCAGCACTAGGGAGGCAGAGGCAGGTAGATCTCTGGGTTCAAGGCCAGCCTGGTCTACAGATCAAATACCAGGACAACCACGGATATACAGGGGAACTCTGTCTTGAAAATCAAAACAAACAGAGATGAGTTTTGAAATTTTTTTCTCCAAGGTGTATATGTGTGTGTACGTTTGTTTGGTTTGCTTTTGATTTTGAGACAGGGTCTGGAACTCCATCTGCAGAACAAGAGATCCGCCTGCCTCTGCCTCAGTAGTGCTAGGACTAAAGGCCTGCACCAATACACCCGGCTCTCAAAACTCTAGCCACACATGGTAGCTTTAATTCCAGCACTCAGGAAGCTGAGGTAGGAGGATTGCTTTGAGTCTGAGACTGGACTGGACTACACAGTAAGACTGTCTCAAAAGCACAAAACAAAACAAACCCCATTTTCATTTTCTGAGATGCTTTTGGGTTTTTTTTGTTTGTTTTTGTTTTTTAATCTGTTTGAACCAGGAGCCTTGGCCCAAGTTCTTTGGCTCAGAAGATCTTTTTTCTTCAGACTCTGGTGGGCTAGAATTATTAGCACACACCACTGTGCTGAGCTGCAGAGACTTTTCTTAACAGTTTTCAAGTATAATTCCCCCACGGGGCAAGGCATTTATTCAGACAACCAAATGGACAGAAATCAAAAGGCATCAAGTTGGTCTATGAAATGTATATCTGCACAGCTAACACTATGGAATTTCAGAAGCTGCCCTAGAGTCTGACCCAAGAGTGCTACAGTGCTAAATGCCCACTCACTAATCCTATGCCACCCACCTTCACTATACTCTGAACATTTTCCCTAAAAACCCCAAGGAGGAAACAAGCAAGGGTGACCTAGTTTGTGTGCTTTTAACCTCAAACAAGAAAAGTTATCCATGTATTTTGTTTCTCTGCCTTTGTTTCTCGTGGGCTGTTTACTTAACCATAAAGAATGTACAATTCTCTCTCTCTTTTTGGGGGGGGAGATGTGGGGGGGACTCAAGACAGGGTTTCTCTGTGTAACAGCCCTCCCTGGCTGGCCTTGAACCACCTGCCTCTGCCTCCTGATTGCTGGAATTTAAAGGTGTGTGCACCACCACAGCCCAGCTTCTCTCCCTGGTTTTTCGAGACAGGGTTTCTCTATAGCTTTGGTGCACCACCACCACCTTGCGCTCTCCAGCCCCGCCTGCTCCCCCCCACAAGACAGGGTTTGATGTAGCCCAAGCCATCCCTGAACTTGCTATGTAGTTAAGGATGCTTTCAATTGACGGGTTTTCTTGCCTT